TATCACTCCAGTAGGGTGGCAAAGTTTAAAAAAATAGCTTGCAGTAACTGCTGGAGAGGATGCAGAGAGACAGGAACTCTCATACACTAACGGTGGGATTGTAAAATGGTACAACCACTCTGGAAGGCAGTTTGATGTTTCCTCAAAAAGCTAAACATAAAAATCCCCTATGACTCAGCTATTCCACAGCTAGGAATATATCCTAAATAAACCAGAGCTGCTACCCAAAGAGATAGATATATGCACACCCATGTTTATTTATGGAGAGAAATACTATGGAGAGAAACAAATAAATGGAGAGAAAAACTATGATATAGTCACATAATGAAATTCTACACAGCACTGAAAAACAAGGAACTCATCCAATATTACACAACATAGGGGAGCCTGGAAGACATTATGCTGAGTGAAATATGTCTGTTACAAAAAAAGAAAAATACTGCATAACATTAATGCTATAAAACAGACTGACATGAGGGCTGGGGAAAGCTAAGAGGGGATAAATAATGAATACGGCATAGGAACAGATGAACTGTTTAAAAGAATATATGATTAAGCATTATTTGTATGGCAATAGGCCAGAATAAGAGGTGCAGAGCACAGCAGACTGGGGTGGGTGTCAGAAAAGTGAGAAAATTATGCAACAATGAATGATTTTCTTTTAAAGTAAATTGGGGGGTTAGGGAGGAAAATATGCAACAATCACTGAACAAAAAATCTAACTTTTCTGTAAACTTTCATTAAAATCACAATAAAAAGAAAACAACCAACCATACAGACAAACAAGAACAGAACTCAGGCCTATTTTTTATATCTCAACCTGTTCTAAAGGAATGTGATTTTAATATCAATTTGAATGTCAAACAAGAAAAAAGGAAGTACTGTATACAGTAACTCTCCCTACAACAGCTGAGAAATTAGCAATATATAATAGTTGAAATAAAGAATCTTGGTGGTACAGTGGTTATAAAAGATTTTTGTTGTTGTTGTTATGTGCCAGTGAGTTACCTGTGACTCATAAAAACCCTATGTACAACAGCTCTGAAGCTTGCCCTGTCCTGAGCCAGTCTCACGGACTCCAACACACCAACCCCCCCCATTGCCCCAGTTACCGTATCAATCCATTTCATCCGGGGTCTTCCTCTCCTGTGCTGACCCTCCACCCTTCCAAGCTTGATGTCCTTCTCCATTGACTGGTCCCTCTTGGCCACATGCCCAAAGTATGTGAGATGGAGCTTTAAAATACTAGCCTCCAAAGAGAAATTTGGTTTCACCCTCTCCAAGACAGACTTGAAAACCCTGCAGGCAGTGCTACTCAAATCTATAGGGTAGCTGTAACTTGACAGCAACAGGTTTGGGGTTTTTTGGTTTGGGTTAGAAATAGTTTTACTAACTAAGAAAAGAGGGGATAAAGAATGTACATGGCATTGAAACAGACGAGGGAAAGAACTGTATAAAAGGAATATGTGATTAGGTATTATCGGAATGGATAATTGGCCAGAATAAGAGCTGCATAGTAAATTGGACTGGTGAGGGTACTGTATAAAAATGAAAGGGAAAGAGAAAAGTGAAATGGGGGGAAGGAGACAGGGAGGAAAATGTACAACAATGAATGAATGGAAATCTAAGTTTTCTATAAACTTTTATTAAAATCTCAATTAAAAAAAGTTTTACTTTGTCCAAAGTAAATTCAAGGTTAAAATGCACTTAGTAGTAAATAAAAGATAAAAAGGAGATGGTAAGACTTGTTGAATTGGGAAAATCTGATGTAAAGGACTTCTCTAAAGTTCTAAAGAACAATGTCAACTTAAAGACTAAGATACATCTGATCTAACCCATAGTATTTTCAATGTTTTCCCGTGCATTTGAAAGCTCGACAATGACTAGAGATGACAGAAGAATTGATGTCTTTGAATTGTGGTGCTAGCAAAGAAAACAGACTATCCCAAGGATTGCTAAAAGAAGAAACAAGACAACCTTGGAGGAAGTGCAATAAGGGAACTTCTTAGAAGCAATGATGGTGAAACTTGGTCTCACATACCTTGAGCATGTTGTCAAGAGAGACTGTTGTTGTTGTTTACCATAGAGTTGGACCCTCTGTCGGGTTTTCAGAGGCAGTTAATCACACAGGAGGAGACTGCCCATCATTCTCCCGTGGAGAGATTAGTCCTTAGAAAAAGACATCATGCTAAGAAAGGTGGAAGTCAGAGAAAGAGAGGATGACCTTCAACAAGGACTGATAATGTGGTGACTATGTATTTCTACAATGATCTGATTAAAGAATCCTCTACATGACCCTTAAGCTTTGTAAGAATCACAAAGCTGTTTGCTTAACTCCCATAGAACAATCACCTCATACAATTTCTGTACCAATGCAGTTGAATATGTAGGAGATCATGAGGATACAGCAAAGTTCAAATCTGTTGTTCACAGGGTCACTATAAATCATTGTCAACTCTGTAGCACATAACAAGAAGACAAGGTAATAAGGAATAGAAGAAAGTATGACACTTGGGTATTATACAGGCTTTCTTTAAAGTTGTAGCTGAACTGAAGCAGTATGGTGAGGGAAAACTAACAAGAAAATTCACTAAGAACATTAATATTAGTATCAATAAGATGTTTAAAACAAACGCCAATTCTCTGGGATCCTAGGTCCCAGGTCTTACTTTTTTTTTTAATCTCAAAAATAATATTACAACCAATACATTTTCTGTTTAATAAGAAATTTACATAGACACAGCTTTCTAAAATATCACTATGCCCTGAAATACTTTTAAAATTCTTATTATCTGAGTTTTCTTTAATTTGGTAATAGGTAATGTAAATCAGGACAGGCAAAAATGCCAAATGTTTGCCATTAATGGGAACTTAACTTTCGTAAAACAAGTCTTAACTATTCTGAAAGACCTTGTGCTACAGTGCCAAAAATGCCATCACAGCTATGTCAGTGAAGAACATTTAAAGCCAAAAGGATCACAATTTAAAATGGGAGGGGAGAGAGGAAGGGAGTATGTAACCAAATAAAAAAGGTGGTGCATAGAGCCAGACAATTCTAAGAAAAAATTTTCAAAATCTTGAGAAACTTATTTTAGGGGGTGTTACTAATAACAGTAACAATAACGTTAGGTGCTGCTGAGTCAACTAAGACTATCAACAGGATCTGAACCTTGCCCTAGCTTGTGCCACCCTCAACATCTCCGACATATGTGAGCCCATTGTTACAGTTACTGTGTCAATGTCAATTCATCATGTTGAGAGTCTTTCTCTCTTACACTAACCCTCCACCTTTCCAAGCATGACAGAGTTTAGAAATATACTTGCTGCTAACATTAAAGGGGGTTGCGGGTGGGGAACAACCAAACCCATTACTGTCTAAATTACTATTCCCCCATCTCAGTGCTCTGTGCAGTTTCTAAGGCTGGAAGTCTTTACCAAAACAGCCTGCTACATCTTTTCTGGTGGGCTCCAACCATCCCTTTTCAGAGTGCTTTCATTATTGTCTCTCTAGGGCTCCTGCTTCTGAACGTTACTCTACAAAAAACAGCCAAGGAAATGTGTACAAGAATGATTATTGCAGCATTATCCGTAATGATTAAACTACATAGTGACTTAATCTGTAAATTATATGGAAAGAGTTAAATAAACGGCTGCAAAGAAGTATCTGGCCTTACTCCATGCTAACCACTGTCTCTCATCAGGTAATGCTACCTTAACTGGGTTATGCTACCTTTGCTCAAGGCATAATTACTACAGGTCAAATGCTTTTTAAAAAAAAGATTCAGTGCTTTCCGTTTTATTCTTACTCATTCATATTGTGAAATCACACTTCGAAATTGCAATATGCATCAACTGATGGCTAAGATTTGACAAAATTTACAAACTTGAAGATTTATTTGCCCCTTGACGGTTTTATCTTAACTTCTTTGATTATTTATAAAAAGCCCCAGAATATTAATTCCTTTCTTCTTGCACCCCCCCTCCAATCTACCAGTATCTTGAAGCCTTTCAACTGGCAGAGAAATAACTGTCCTCTGAATGCAGACAATAGTGTTGACCCACACGAGGCTTTGATTTATACTTGTTTTTCCATTGGGGTGATGGATTTGGGCTCAGCTACTCTTAGTGTCTACTAGGTCCCCCTGGTGACTAAACAGTACATCAAGACAGTAGTAGGATTCGAAGGCACTGACTGGCAGCGGAACAGAGGGTGGAAAGGGAAATCATGAAAAATTAACACGGGAGCAGTACACACGACATGACTGAGAATTACGTTTCCATGACTGGGGTATTTGAGATCGGCACACCAGAATCTGTCCCCTTTCCTTTCAAAAAGCAAACACCCACTCGCCTCCCTTGGGCTTCGGAGCCCCACCTCCCATTTAAATCAGATATGATGGAAAAACCAAACCAAGGGGCTCAGCATCATGCACTCGCTGTTTATGGGGGCGTTTGCGCTGTTGAAAACACTGGTGTGACAAACTGCTGCACATTTCTAAAATATGGAGGACTGATACACCACCTTTTCTACAATCGATTAAAAACCCAGGTCGCAGAGTCAAGAATACTGAACCTGCGGGGCCCGCCGGGGAGGGTGAGAGGACCAGGAGCTGATTGCAGCCCGTCCGAGACGCGCCTGCTAGGGGCTGGGGCTGGGGGAAGCGGCCGGGCGCCGGGTCGCACCCGACTCACCCCTAGGGGCTTTCGCAGAGCCAGGACAAGCCTGGCGGGGCGGGCGGGGCGGCCCGCGCGGGCGGGGCCCCAAAGCCGGCCAGCCTCGGAGCACCGGGCGCAAGAGGCGCAGGGGAAGCCGTTGGGCTGCGGCGCCCGAGCTGCTGCGAAGGGCGCGCCGCCAGGTGCCGGACGGCAGGGGGCAGCGGGGTTCGAGCGGGCGCAGACCCAGGGAGGGAAGAGCGCCGAGAGGCGGCAAGTCCCACGCGGTGCTGGCGGGCGCCTGGCAGGGTACGTCCCGGCGGGTGGTGGGGCTGTCGCTGGCCTACCTGGAGGTAATAAGGTTTTCTTAGCCAGGCCCCCGGACAGAGACTCCTCGCCATGGTAATCACACATCGCCCCGCCGCGCCGCAGTCAGAGGCGGACCCGGAGCACAGGCGGCCGGGCTCCCGCCTCCCCCCGCCTCCCCGCCCCCTGCCCGAACGGACCCGCCCCCTCCCCCGCCCCCGCCGCAGCGCGCTCGGCTCCCCGTGGCCTCGCGGCGGTGACGGCGGCCCGGAGCCCAGCCTCCTGCTCTGGTAGCCCGGCAGCCGCGGCTGTCAGAGTCGCCGCCGCCGCCGACTCCTCCATAAAGGGGAGTCGCGCCTCGCCTCCGCCGACATAAATCCTACTGCGCCTTGCGCTTAAAGGGGAGGCGCGCGGAGGAGGGAGGGGGCGCCGCTCCATGCGAGGCGTACCCGACCCGGCTGGGGGCACGCGCCGACCTGGCTTGAGCGTCGACCTTATGCACCCTGCTGTCAGTGCTATGATCCCAGCTCCCGGCCCCCTGGGCTGACTGCTTTGAACATCCTAACCGCCTAAACCCGGGAGGATTGATGGGCTACGAAGCAGCGTGATATACTACCGTGCTCCCTCAGTCTGGACGTGTCTAGGCGAATTGCGTTGAAATTCAAGCGGAGCTAGGGCTCCTTCCCCAAGGGACTAGCTCGTCTTCCGCGGCGCGCGGCAGGGAGGGAAGAGCGTCCGCCGGAGCCAGAGCCGCCGCGGGGCGCATCCCGCGGGGATTGCGCTCTGCCCCCGCAGCCGAGCGCGGGGCGGCGGACGTTGGCAAACTCCTCTTGGTCAGAGTCACAGCTCTCACGATTATAGTTCGCCTTAAACTTTTAAAAACTGTACTTTTTAAAAAAAATTCTGGCCTTTTTCTGGTTTATATTGTTTCAGACAGCTTCAGGAAAGTTTTCTTGGCCCCGCCCAGGAACCTCGATTCAAAAGAAAAATATTACTGAGCCAAATGCAATCCAAAACACAGGAGTCCTGGGACGTGGCATAGCTACTCAGTTACAGCTACATAAGGCAGGGTGTGGTGTCTCTTTTGACAGTGAGATCCAAATAAGGGGAAAAAAGAGCCACCCAATTGAGAGAACAGCTGTTGATCTGAGTGACTTGGAATGGGCACTTCTTTCTCTTTCTTTTAACCCCACAGACCACATTTTCACATGGTGCCAAGCAGAATCTAGGTGGCCATTGGGTTTTCACATAAGCTTTGTTTTGAAGCTTTCTGTTGCTTTACCTTTTGTCCCTTCCCTGAACGCCAAAGAAAAAAGGACTGTAATGCTCAATGAGACTTTATTGCTGGCAGATACACCAATTTGTACTGATTTTCAGTTGCAGTTAAGCGTTTTGGTAGTTTCTAAGCAAGATAAGGACGGGCACTACTGGTTTCATTAGTTGAATAGCTATTTACTGAACATCCAATTTAATGAGCTTTCAGGGACCGTTGGGCTACCCTGGTGAGCAAAACATGAAATCTGCACTTGTGCAGCTTACCTTTTGAGGATGGCAGAGATAAGAGATTTTTTTTAATAGAGTATGAAGTTACTAAGTGCTATAAAGGAGAGGATATTAATGTAACAGATGAGAGAAGAGTATAGGTTTGAGAAAGACCAGGAGTTCAGGTTTTTAATGTTAAGTTTGAGAAATGTGTTAGAAATCTAAGTGTAGAACTTAAATAAGTAGAACATGTAAATTGAAGAGAGTGTTCTAAGTAAGAGATCTAGCAGTGATATTAGCACTGAGTTGGTGTCCGAAGCCATGAGACTGGACAGGATCACCAATGAATTGAATGTAAATAGAAAGAGAGCCAAGAATCAAGTCCTTGGATGTTGTTCAACCTTATTAGGGAACAAATGAATAAACTTGCAAAGGAGACTGAAAAGGAGCTACCAAGAAAGAAGGAGAGCCAAGAGTAAGGTGCTGCGAAAGCCAAATGAGAGTTTATCAAGAAGGACTGAGTACTTGTATGTGTCAAATATAGCTTACAGATCAAGTGAGTGAGGGGAGCACTGATTTCAAGACACACAGAGGTGTGTGGTAGCATTGCAGGGGAACAACGAGGGGGAAAACATGATGAGGGTGGTTCAAGAAGAAACCGAAGGCAAGGAATTGGAGATGGTGAATGGACACTTCTTTTGAGCCATTCTGCTGCAAAAGCAGAGCCCCAACATGGGACAATAACTGGTGTTGGAAATGGTATAGAAATTCGATTCAAAAAGTTGGGGGAAAATATTTGTATATCGTGGGAATGGTGTTGTTATGTGCCAACCCAATAGCAGTTTATACTGGAGAGAATGACAGGAAGTCTCCTCACATGTAATTTACAGCCTCTGAAAAGCCACTGGAAGGTCAGCTATGAATCATTTCTAACTACACAGCACATAAAAACAACATTCAATTATTGAAAGGAGAAAACGGAACATTTACCTTTCGACCTTGGATGGAGTCTCTTGTCATAACATGTCCCAGAGCTTGAGATAGAAATTTGAGTTAAGAACAGGGACCTAGAGTTCATGCTTAGGACCTTGCTCTAAGTAGGAATGACAAGTTCTCCCCATAATTTTGGCTTTTAAACCCACCTGGATGAAACCCAGTATAGATTTAAGCAGGTTTGGCCTGTGGAAAAATTCAGCCACTATTTGCCCCTTGTTTGGCCCTGTGCTGCACCCTCTTTGCAATGTCCTTACCATTCTTCACATCATACACTGGATGTCTTCTTGTTAGTTACTGTTGAATCACTTCAACTGCAACCAATCCTATGCACAACAGATCAAAGTCCTGCTGATCCCGAACCATCCCCACAGCCTTCATTGTGCTCAAGCCTGCTGTTGGCAGGTACTGCATCAATCCTTATCCTTGAAGGTCTTTCTCTCCTTTGCCAGCCCTCTACTTTTCAAAGAATAATGTCCTTCTGCAGGGACTGGCCCTTCCCAACAACATTCCCAAAGTATAGAAAAGCTCACAATCCTTGCTTCTGAAGGAGCACTCTGGCTGCCCTTCTTCCAAGACAAATACTTGTTCTTTTGACAATCCATAATATATAGTCAATACTCTTTACCAATACCATATTTCAAAGGCATCAATTCTTCAGTCTTCTTGATTCATTGTCCAAGAAAAATACTTAAATTTATCTTTTCTATACATTTTCTTACATATAAAAAAACCCTTGCTGTATTTTTTAAATAAAAGCTACCTGATCCAAAACTGACTCATATGATGTATACAGTATCATGTGTTACCTGATGGCTTAGTGGTAAGGAATTGCGCTGTCAACCCAAAAGTAAATGGTTTTAATCCAGCAGCTCTTCCATGGGAGAAAGAGGGACAGTCTCTTTCTGTCCGATTAACTGCTTCTGAAAACCTGCTGGGGGCAGCTATGAGTTGGTTCCCACTCAACAGTACACGAAAACAGCAGCGAGTCCATATATAAAATGTAACTTTGAAATTCCACAGAGCAATGGTTCTAGTTGTTTCAAATACAGGGAAAACAAGATCAATGGGATATGAACTTTTTTTTACATTTCCTTGAAACTGATTGATGATTTCTGCATTCTGTTGGACTGAGTTTTTCCCACTGAGAACAAGTATGGATCTAATCCAGTGAGTTGGCCAGGAAATTGTCTTCCAAATTTCTTGGCATTGACTAGTAAGCACATCCAGGAGTACATCTATTTACTGAAAACCCTCAATTGGTATTCCATCAATTCCAGGGGTCCCATTTTATGTCAGTGTCTTCAGTGTAGCTTGAACTTCTCTCTTCAGTACAATTGGATCTTGATCCTATACTGCCTCTTAAAATGGTTGTTAATCTCTTTGAAATAATAACTTTGTGTGTTCTTTCCATCTTCTTTTTGATACTTCCTGCACTGTTCAATATTTTTCTTATAGAATCTTTCACTATTCAACTTGAGGCTTGACTTTGTTCTTCAGTTATTCCAGCTTGAAAAATGCCAAGTATGTTCTTTTCCTTTTTGTTTTCTAGCTCCAGAGATCTTTGTACATTTTATTATAACTTTGCTTTATCTTCTTGAGCTTCCTTTTCAAATCTTCTGCTTAGCTCTCTTGTTTCTTTCTTTTGCTTTAGTTTCTCTGTGTTTAGGAGTAAGTTTCAGAGACCCTTCTGATATCTATTTTGGTATTTTTGTTTTTCTATCATGTCTTTTTAATGATATTCTGCTTTCTTCCTGTACAATGTCCTTGATGTCACCCCACAACTGGTCTAGTTTTCCATATCCAAAAGTTCAAATCTGTTCCTGAGATAGATTTTAAATTCAGGTGAGAAAAACTCAGAGTTGTATTTTGGTTCTCATAAACTTGTTTTAATTTTCTTCAGCTTCAATTTGAACTTGCATGAGTAATTAATGGTCTGTTCCATAGTCCACCCCTATCCTTGTTCTGGTTGTGACTACTGGACTTCTCTACTACCTTTTTGCACAGTTATAGTCAGTTTGATTTCTGTGTATTTCATCAGGCAAGATCCATGTGCATAGTGATCATTTCTCTTTTTTTAAAAAAGTATTCACAATGAGTGAATCATTGCTTTAACAAAATACAAAATTCTATCATGAGATATCTAGCTTCATTTCTGTCATCACGGTTATATTTTCAGCTACCAGTTCTTCTTTGTTTCCAACTTTTGCATTGCAGTCACCCGTTGTTATTAACACATGTTGATTGCATGTTTAATCAATTTCAGCCTGCAAAAGTGTGTAGGAATCCTCCATTTCTTCACTCTTCACTTGAGTGGTTGATGTGTATATTTGAATAATACTTGTATTAACAGGTATTCTTTGTTTGCATATAGATATTATCCTATCACTCAGAGCATTGTACTTCAGGATAGATCTTGAAAAATGTTCTTTGTTATTACGAATGTGATACCATTCCTCGTCAATCTGTCATTTATGTCTTAGTATATTTCATGATTGTCTGATTTAAAATGACAATATCAGCCCATGTCAACTCACTGAAATTTAAAATCTCAGTCTTTAAGCAGTCCATTTAATTTGTGATAACTTCCAATTTTCCTCATCACATGCTTTGTACCTTCCACATTCCAATTACTAATGTTTTCAGCTATTTATCTTCATTTTAAGTCTTTCCACATCAGTAAATGAAGTCCTTCACTGGGTAAAAG